AGACAAATTGATTGAACTTTAGTATGAGCAGTATTACATAAAAAAAAAGGATTATCGAAATAAACATGCTTCTGTGTTCATATCGGTGATTGGTATGTAATACATTTTTCTCATTCGCTTTTCAATTTTCTCGTACGACATCGAATCAAGTTGTCTGGAGGACGTGCTTCTTTTTTTTCATCTTCATCTTGTTCTCTACCGATCTTCCATCCGATATACATCTTCCTCATGTATCCCGAGAACGATACAAGATCGGAGCCAATGAATAAACGCAGCCGAATGGTTTATTATTCTATATTATATTTACATTTTTATAAGATATCATAAATGCCTGATTTACATGGAACCCTATCAGCTTGATCTAATCTGATTTCCATATAAAACGCGACTCCCACGTCTCATCTCGCCGGAAAACCGACACGACAACAGAAAACAAGAGATAGATATATACTGCAGAGAGAGAAAAAGAGGATGTAGAGAATGAGAAGCACATAACAAAATCATGCGAGGAATGGCAGAGAAAATAAAAATACGAGAATATCCGAGAGGGTAGCTTTTCCTAAATTAATTTAATTTTGTTTCACCGCAGACGCGATATTTGTGCGTGTGCACGTCAATTTTATTTTTTTTTTCTTCCTCTTCTTCTCCTTATTATTTTTCTATATTTAATTTCGTCCTGAAAGGAGTTTGTTTAATGGACTTAGGTAGTCAAAGAGAAACACGAAAAAGAAAGTCTATAAGAAAGAAAAATCTTGTAATTTAATGAGAGATACATATCTACTTTTTTTTCTTATATTACGCAAAGGATGGGTTCATTATGTTTCCAAAAATTGAAAAGAAGAGCTCAAATTTTGTTAGATCACTAATCAATTCTTTGATGAAATATTTTAGTATCGAAAACAAGATGTTATATTTATTTAAATTTGATCTCCAACATTAACTTTATAACCAGTCACACATTATTATTGTATTATTACAAAGATCAAATCAAAGCTGAAAGTGTTTATTTCGTACATTTAAATTAAAGCTAAAAGTCTTTATTTAGTGCAATAAAATCAAACCAAAGTTTTTAGAATTGTATGTAAAATGTTAGGTGTTTCAAGAATTGGTATTGCAAGGAATTTTAAAAAATAATAAAGAAGCAATAGTACTTAGTATTATGTTTTTTTTGTTACACACCGCTGCAATAAATTAATATTATAATTTCAGGTAGATGCAATAAAAAAAGGGTATTTAAGTGTGAAAGTTCTCTTAAATACCCTTTTTTTATTGCACCTACCTGAAATTATAAAGGTAATCGCCACTTCCAATACTTATTCTTGTTTTCTTTTTTTTAAGTGCGTATTAATTTCTGTATTGTGTATTTTATTGACTTCAATATTTATTTTCAGTAAAATTTAGTTTCCTTTGATATTTAAATAAAAAGTCGACAAAATTAAAGCTAAAAGTAAATATTTTGTACGACGAAGTCAACGATTTTATTATTTACAATAGTTTCACTTACCTTTTATTTGCGGGCTAATTGTGCATGCCCAGGGAAATTGTGTATTTTTTTTTTCGGGACCGAAGGAAGAACAGTTGATCTTTTATTTTTTATTTGGAAAAACTGATTCGGTTTGCATAACAAGCAAAATTAATTGTAAGAAAAATGACTCGCTTAACGAGCGACGTTTTGCATAACGAGTGACGATGAGAAGAGAAGTCCCGGA